AAAAAAAAAAAAAAAAGGCTGAAACGAGGTTTATGAAAGAGAGATCTGAGCTGTTTCCCTGTGGGTGGGAAAGCCTGTGAGGTCACATCATTCCCAGCAAGGTTACTGCTTCAAGGTTGGAACCAAGATCTGACAGTGACTTATGTGAACAGRGCACTTCCATAATTTAAAGAACTCCTTCCCCTCATTCGCTAACAGAGGAGAAAGACACAGCCTATAACAAGATCAGACAGTTAAATGTCTGCTTTGATACAGAATTGTTCTCTTTTGTTCGAAACTGCAACAGAAGCCTGCCCTCTGTGTGAATAAAACTGTGACAGTGGGTCAGGGAAGAGTCACTTTTCTCTTCCCAGTCCCATGGGAGGAACAGTCATATACATAAAGTACTATCAGTGGCTAATTATGATGAAATCCATATGGCTGACTTCAAAGAATTAAAAGTTGTGTCAAGATATACCAATAAATGCTTACAGAAATTTGAGGAAAAGAAGTAATTAAATATAACTAAATATAATGCTGCAAAAAAAGATCTATCTTTTAGTTATTAATCATCTCTCCCATTAGAATGGTGAATACCGTGCCCTAAAAGYAGGATGAGCAAAACTTAACTATGATTCAAAATGTCACAACTTATAAAACAAATATTCTCTGTCACATTTGAAAGGTGCAGTGAAAGGGGGCATAATTGCAAAAATTTAACTTAGGACAGTTGCTAGTGATTAGGATCCTTCAAGGAGCAGAGGAAACCACATAAGATAAGGGCCAATGGTTCATTTTAGTGGCCATCCTTACCAGCTCTGGCCTTTTCATCTGCTTCTTTAACAAGTTCCAGAGAGTCAGAAAGAGCTGAGCAGCATCATGCTGCACAAAGACTGCACAAACAGAAAACACAACCTCAATCAGTATCATGAACCATACTGAGCAGAGATTTCCCACAAATGGCAAAAGGAGATTTATTGTCCYCCATTAGATCCAGCCTCTTGTCCCTTGCTCCTCCCTGCAGAGCTCAGACTGGGCAGAAGGTGCCATTCCTCCATGGGAGTTGAGCAGGCAGTGGGAAAAGASCACTTTTTACACCACCCAGAGTAAAAGTCATGCAAAAGTCATGTCCTTGTCACCAGACGCAGGGACAAGAGTACACTCAACACCCACCAGAGGAGGGCTCAGATGGTTCACTGAGTTGAGGGCTGCAGTTCACAGGATCATAGAAASATTTGGGTTAGAGGGAACCTTAACAATCATCCAGTTCCCCCCAGCATGGACAGGAACACCTTCCAGTAGACCAGCAAAGCCAGCCTGGCCTTGAAGACTTGCAGGGATGCAGCATCCTCAACTTCTCTGCACACCCTGTATCAATATCTCACCACTCCCATAGTAAAAATTCCTTCCCAATAGCTAATCTAAACTTACTCACAGTTTCAAGCCATCATTCCTTGACCTATCAGTTGTATGCCACATGTCCTATCATGTAAACAGATCCTTTTGAATCCTTAAGAACAATACAGGGAAGATTCTGCTCTATTTTTCACCTTTATTACTCCACAGACCTGTTTCCCTCATCCCCTCATGAAGGCTAAAATGCTCCCGAGTGCTAACAAAAAAATGACAGGAGAACATATCCATATGTCTCATGCACCAAACTCTACAAACCCCTTGATCCTTATCTCTTTTTAACTGGAARGGAGATGGTTGACTGCAAAGCCATTCAGAGTCAGGGAGAAAATGATGCCAACATGAATACTGAGCTTATCTTGTGTTCCTCTTTCATAAAAGTCAGGGCATCACCCACCCCTTTCAGTGCTCTCCTGTTTGGGTTTTCATATTATAAAGATAAGGGCATTTGGTTATACCCTGTACACATAAAGAGACTCTTGGCATCCCATTGTCAATGGTCACCCATGCATTTAACAACCTCTCTCCTTTGGAGCTTTGACCAGTTGGGAGATTTAGCCAGCAGATTCTTCTCTCTGCCCTTATAAGAAGGAGCAGGAAGGATATCGTTTCTATCTGCAGGGACCTGTTTGAACTCATTCTCTTTTCCACACTATCCCTTTCTTTTAATAAGTAACAGCAGCTATTTCACTATTATAATGCCAGTGCAGCAAGACAAATCAAACAATGAACTGTCCTCTCTGCCCTGCACAGCCCTTTTCCCCTGGCCAGTATCCACTGGCTGGATCCTCTAGCAGTCTGATTGTCCTCCCACCCTTTGGACATCAGCAAATATGTCCAATAGGTTTTTTCTCCCCCTCTTCACAAGTAAGACACTGCATTGCACTCCCAGCTGGGAGGCAGCTATAAAGAGCACTGTGTCATTGTGTACCTAACTCCTGACATTTGTGAATTCCTGCAGGAGATGTTGGAATCTGCACTGCTYGTCAGTGCTGGATAATGAACACCCTGGTCTGCAGACAGAGGCAGGCACGAGGCAGCGCTGCTTACATCGCACTCGGTGTTGTGCAAGGCAGTAAGCCAGCTCTGTGGGACCAACAGCTTTGCGTTTGCCACGCTGCATCTTCTCCAGCAGCAGGAGCATCTGGTATGGAACACTGTTCTTCTTCTGTGCAGCAGACAGTGGCACTGTGATCCTGGAAGRGGAAGAACCAATACCAATGGTAATCAAGTGGTACAATGGAGAAATAACAGCCAKCACACTTGAAGGAGCAGAGGTCAGKAGCAGAGAYRGCAACTCAASAGGAACCAGAATGAGTAYATTTTCAGCAAAAGAAGGAAAAAGGGGAATCMATCACCTGCACTAGCTCATCCCACAGTGCAGGCTGACAGTTCTAAAGTAAAGGCCACAATTTTMAGTTGGCCTCTTCCTGAATAAGGGACAAGCTGAGCAGGGCTTYAAGTGCTTTCTGGYCTCTAGAAACAACAYCAGTTAYAGCCAATTTCTATTCTTGCCTYRCAYCCATTTATGYCCTCATTCTCAACATGCTCTCAAAATTTCATGGGCATGTATATATCATAATGCTTGTATTCCAACTATATGCCAACAAAAACTCTTAATTCTCCCTAAATTTATTGTAGTCCACAGGTCTTTCTAACTCTTTCTTCAAATAATCAAGGTAACCTACAGTCTACATTATTTAGCTTGGCCCATTTATGACACCTCTCATCTCTGCATGTCTGTAATTTGCCTTCTTTCTCCTCTGCACGTTAGTGAGCATGTAAGAAAGGACGGAACAGGAATGATCCATTTAGATGATTAAAGCTGCAGTGAATTGAGTAAGTTGGAAACAAATCAAACCAGTTATTAGTGTGGTYAGGAGGGAAACAGAAGACCAAATATTCCTTCAAAGCATGCAGGAGCAACAGCCGAGCAAAGCAATGTTATGTACTCATGATCTGCAACAACACTCTATCAGGGCCCAGGGATTATATTATGCTTATGTTTGTATGCTTMAAGTAATAAAATGAATAGTGGATATGGTTACATGCAACACATCGTTTATTATAACGGCTTGTGAGTAATAAAATGATATCCKTGAATAAAATTATATCCTGTTACACAAAAGGAAGATGCAAGCCGTAAAGAGCCGGGTCAGGACATGAATCAGAGATGACTAATGAGCTGGAACACTGCAACCTCTACCTTTGCAGACTCCAGTCTGTGTATGACAGACACAACAAGGCAGAGWCCTTGCTGAGGGACCAAAAGCATCCTGACAGCATCTCAGTGATCCAMGCCTTCAAATGTATATCCCATGTGATAAAGGAGTGGAGACAACAGAGCAATAATGGAAATGTCTCAGGTAAGTTCAAACAGGWGGTACCTTCGAAGTATCCCTGTGAAGTGTATATTCATGAGGAACACTTGGAGCAGAGAGTTCAGACAGCAGGTCTGTCCAAGGTTGTACAGTCCAATAGCTTCTGYAGGGTAGAAAAAGAAGAAGTGAAGCCTGGCAATAGGTACAAGAAAAGAAAGTGAAAATTATCTGAAAGTGGCCAACTTTTCTTGTACATATTCAGTCAATCAGTGTATAGGTCCAGCATCTTGGTCAGACCTGAAAAACATTTGGTTTGGTTTGACAACTGACAGGAAAAAAACCAAGTAAGCCGGGATAATGATGCTCAAATTTCTCCCAGTTCCTTTGTTTTCAGTCCTCTCATAACACACCTAAATATAAAATAAAACAACAGGAAACAAAGGCTGACTGTATGAGGAGAGTAGCTAGGGGCTAGTCCATGGTTTGGCAAATCCAGCAATGCTGGCTGTGCTTGGAAAAAGAGGAGCCAGCAGCCACACCTTTTTGGCTGCAATGGTCAATTTGAGAACTTAAATGGGAAAAAAGCTCTGAGATCTTCATGTAATCCATTCTCAAAAAAACTCAAAATGGTTACTTGGCAAGGCAAAATCAGAATTATCTGTATATTCCTCAGTGAAGAGTAAGGAATAGGAGAAAATGAAGCCTATGGACTGAGAATRGAACAGCAGGTATTATAAATAGAAAATATGAGAGTGAAGAACAGGCAAAACATTTTTACCATTTTTTAAGTCTGCCACACCAAAGACTGATGCCAGCCTCTGGTTTTTGGCCTTCACCTCTTCAGCTTCCTCTTTATTATTTCGTACTTCAGTTTCTGCCTCCATGGTCTCACTTAGTGCCAGTTGCGGTTTCTTGCTTCTTTCTTGACGTCCACTTCTTTGTCCCATCAACAATATTGTTCAAAGACAGAAGGACTGCAGGGAGACACAGAAATATTGGGAAGAGTGGGAGCATCCAKAAATATAGGAATTGTCTACGACATTTTCATTATGAAAAGGTGAAATCAAAAAATCRTTGAACGGTTTGGGTTGGAAAAAACCTTAAAAACYATCTARTTCCAAMCCCCTGCCATGGGCAGRGAGGTCACCTACKAGATCAGATTGCTCAGKGGCCCATCCAGCCCAGCCTGGAATATCAATAAAATCAGTAAGRTTATTGCAACAGCATTTGGGATATTTGAACAAATATGGGTACTGAGGTGTGCAGGTTATTGCTAAGGGAACAGAAACGGAGTCTGATGACAATTGCTCATCCTGTTTTCCTCTTATAGCTAAATAAATAAATGTTCCACAGAACTTTACAGCTCCACAGAAACAGCTCCATCTAGCCAGGGAATTCCACATATCCCTGTTTGAGAGGACTTGTTAAATAAGATGATTAAAACTGCCTAAAAGGCAGATGTTGCAAAACACCTCTGCTTAGAAAAAAAAAACGTTTTATCACACAAAGTATTCAAAAGGTCAGGTTTCTCTTTGGACCAGATAAACACTCCCTCACAGTTGTCTGTAGGTACCTGAGTCACAGCACTGCTGTGGCACTTTGGACTGTAATTTTGAAAGACATTTAAGCACCAACATGTCAGTTTCTTTTTCTGTTCCTTCAAGTGATCACAGGCAGAGTAACTGTTTATGCAAGAGAGCCATTAMAATACCTTGATTTTTAAGGGCGTATTCAACAGACCATTACTCTGACAGTCTCCYGTGACTCGGCTACTAAAGCAAAATAAAAATACCCAAACAAAACAATATGATTAAAGTTCAAACGCAACTACACAAAAGTGAAACTTTCTAAAAGCCCACTGCCAACATGGAGACAGATTCAGTAAAGAAGCAGATATTCACGGGGAAGGGGGGGATGAAGACCCCAAAAAATGCTCAGAAATTATTATTCTACAAATATTAAACAGCACACAAAATCAACCTAAGGCTGATACATTAAAAGAATGTAGAAAAGCTAATAAGAAAGGGAAATAAGCAAAATCCTGGTTCTGCCTTCCACAAAAAAAGAAAAACTTTGCTTTAAAAACATGTTCTCAGGTTAACTGTGCCTAATAGTGTCAAATATCAAAGTTACTAAAGATTCAGGCAGAGAAACTGGAAATTAATTTTGTTTTCCCCAGTTATTACCTTTAAGCTTAAGTATACTTATTTCCAACTGTACTTTTGATTCTTTACTTTTGAAGATTACTTTTGATCTCTAAGTGTCACAAACTAAGATTCACTAAATATTGTCAAATTTTCTGAGAAGCTTTATTTGGGGGGAAAAAAAATCAACTCCAATGTTCAAAGATATATTCAAGAATACTAGTTTTTATATCTGAACCTGGTGATTAGAACAGCTACGCAGGAAAAGAGAATTTCATCTGATTTCTCCCTTGCCAAAACAGAGCCTGAACACACRCTGCCTCTTTTCCTGAAAATGGTTTAACGATTTAACACATTCAAGTTTCTGAAAGCCCAAATGGAGTGGAAGCCCACCTGGGCTTGTACTGTGAAAGCCACCGGGTTTAGTTGGTGTAGTATCAGAAGGTAACGGGTGCTCACAGGCAGTGAGGATGTCGAAAGAGACAGAAAGGAGAGGGAGAGGCAGACAGAGGTAGCTAAACAACAGCTGYGGATGTACCAGGGGTAAAGCAAACCTGCAAGACACAGGTTTTGTCAGGAAAGATGGAATTAAGGGTGGGATTGAAGAGCAAGCATGGGGCTAAATGGCTTGGGGTGAAYTGAGGAAAAGGTAGAAAGATCCTAGGGATCTTAGGGCACGAAGGTGTGGGGGGATACAGGAGGATTTGTGTCTCTGGTTCTATGAAATTCTCTCCCAGTCACCGCTCTCAGGAACCCTGTTGAAGTACCAGGGACACAAACAGAACTTCCTAACCCTTGGAACCACCTAGTTTTGGCTATCAGAAACACAGCCTTCCTAAGATTTGCATTTGACCTTCTTTTCCTGCACATGTATATAAAAGAATTGGTGAGTGAGCCAAGGAGGCTCTCCTTCTGCCCCCCATTTGTCCTCTCTCCCTAGCGGAGCAGCGTCATTTCTCAGTTTCTTTTGTGGGTCGGGGTAGAGCTCAGTACCTCAGCACACGTGGCTTGGCCGAACCAAGCGGCTGTACCAGCACTGGGCTGAGAACAAGGAGCAGAGGTATCCTCACTGCACCTTCCACCCCACAATCATCTACCTTCACACTCGCTCTCCTTCAGCCAGCCCAGCACCGTCTCTTTTGCCCTGCCCTCCCAAGACACCAGCTTCTGATGRCAAACCCCCAGTTGGGCCTTCATGCCCCCTACCCCAAAGTGCCCCTGCACCTGAGAAGCGCTCCCAGCCAGCTCCTCTGGCACTTGCTGTTCTTTCCCTGTCAGCTCCTTTCACCTCCTGGGTATCTTGGGGTACGGATGGTGCTGGGGCAGGTGGCGGGCAGCAAGTGGAGAGGCCAGGCTGGATGGGTTCTGAGCAATCTCTTCTRGTGGAASGTGTCCCTGCCCTCAGSAGGAGGCTTGGAACTARATGATCYTCAAGGTCCTTTSCAACCCAAACCATTCTATGTTTCTCTARTCCCCCTGAGGTGTTCTTCCAAGGGCTCCAGCGGGACTCAGTGTGAAGACCCACCCTTAAGGGGAAGAAAGCACCTTAGAGCACATCACCTCCCCACTCTTCTGGGATGCGACTAAAGAAGACTTAACTGCCAAACTTCCCACTTAATTGCCAAACTGCTCTCCTTTATTTCCCTATTTCCTTCCCCCATGACACACCGCGCCTCTAGTATCCTATCTCACAARCCAGCAAAAAGTTTTCTTACCAATTCTCGCAGGAACAGCAGCGCTTCGAGCCAGCCCTCTCACTCAGAGCGCACCTGCTGACAAGAGGCAGCGGGGCTCGCTCACCTCTTCTGCCCGCACCGCAGCGGCGCGGAGGAGCCGCTCACCCGGAGGAGCGGGAGGGCAGCGGGAGCAGCTCAGCCGCGGGGAGCAGGAGTGCTGTGAGAACCGAGAGATCATCGGGAGCAGCTCGGCAGCGTGATCCGGGAGTGCCGCGGGAGGAGCCGGGCGGTCCCGCCCGTCAGACAGCAGCAGYGCCCGCCCCGCCGCGCAGTTTTCATTTCCCGCTCGGCCGGGAGCCGCCACAGAAAGTGAAACTCGGAGCCGCCYTGTGCCTCTGCCAGAGGCTGCCGCTCCGCCTCCCGCCGCATCCCGTCACGGAGCCGAAGAAAAAAGGGGCCGAAGAATGTTCACTGCCGGCTCTTTATCCTTTAATACAGATCACTTTGCGTGTGAGAGGCATTATGAGGCCAAACCGTGCCTACATAGTTCATCGGTCAGCACAAGTGAGAAGAGCGGCACTCCCAGTGCAGTCCCCGCCTGGCTTCGCTGAGCTATGGCAAGGAAACAGCACACAGGAGACTCTCAGAGGGATTATCTGGAGCCCACCAGAGCTGTCTTTGTGGAGTGGTCCCAGTTGYATACCCTCTGGGTAGCTAATAGGGAACCTGCTCACACTGCCAGGCTCTCTCGGAGGCAGTATAACTCCAGTTCTCAGCAGCCCGAGGCAGCAGGGCAAGTAAAAATTGTCCTGAATCCTCACAGAGAAAGGGTGTGGATATCTGTAAGGACTTGTGAGCAAAAGAGCRCAAATGACTCAGCATCTGGGCTGTGACAGTGGCAGAAGTTCTCAGCAATAGTTTAAACTTAGTGATGTTCCCTTCCTRCTGCTGGCTTGTGTGGTAGTGACTGCCTGATAGAAGGAAGAGAGAGAGAAGTGCTAAGTCATAAATTGCCTAGAGACAGTGAAGCCACCTGAGCAAAGTGCAAAAGGACACTGGAAGTTAAACAGGAACTAGATCTGCCAGGTGGAAGTTAATGAAAGCAGTGTGCAGCTGAAGCAGTTTTTGAAATGACCCCTGTGAGAGCCCGGGTGCTCAGTCAGGAGGAGTATTGTCTCAAGAATATTTTCAGCTTTGCCTGTGAAACTCAGTCATGACACAACACTTCCAGAGCAGGTAGGAAGCAGAAGTCTGAGCTCAGAAAATGGGCTCAGAGGAAGGGACGGCTAAAACTGAAAGGTGCAGTGTTTGGGTGCCCAAACACACTGCCTGCTGAGCAGCACGGTGTAGTGTCACTGACAAACGCTACTGATATTTGCCGCGGCACTTCTAATCTCCAAATAGCTCCAAAAACCGCATTGACCACATGAAGAACAGGGCTCCTGATTATGAGTGTCCTTGCAAATAAAATAAATCATAATGTTGATAGTCAGGATGAGCTCTAAAAAGCCTTCAGGAAGAAATCCACACCCACTGTTGTGGCCCCATCAGCCGCCATGTAAATGCCGCAGTATTTTGGAGGGGAGTTTGCACAACTGAGTCATCTCGTAAAGGATGGCACGACAAGGACTTACCGCACCTCCCAGGTTTTGTCTCTTATCAGCCCCTTCCCCTGTCAGGAAGCCCAGTTTGCAGCCCCAGCTGTGCACTCCCGTCTGCAGCCGGGCGGGCTCTCTGTGCATCGCCAGCGAAGCGCCCGGGGATCGTTCGGGCCCTCGGCACCAACAGCGCGGCCTCTCCCAGCGCCGGGTGGTTCATCGCCGGCAGTCCAGCGATTCATAGCGCGCACTACGGGAACAATTTGATTTTCTTGATTTGGAACACGAGCGTAGTTTCTGCTGTACACGAGATTGGGATCAAACCCCATCGGTTTTCCCCATTCCGTATTCCGGTGGGATCCAGTCCAGGTTTCCCCTGAGGCCATGTCCAGGGCCTGATCCCGGCGAACTTTGCAGCAGTGACCGCCGCAATCCCGATCCATTCTATTTTTATTCAGTTTCACGTTTTTCCACATTAGTCAGCTTCAGATTTAATAAGAAAAGCAGCAAGGTTTGCTCAACCCATTGAGTGACACTCAGAGTGGGATTTAATAAAAATTCCTGTGTAAGTCAATGTCCAGGGCAGTCCCAGGTGTGGTCAGTGAGGGTGAGGGGGATTGGGGCAGTTCCAGGTGTGGTCAGTGAGGGTGAGGGGGATTGGGGCAGTTCCAGGTGTGGTCAGTGAGGGTGAGGGGGATTGGGGCAGTCCCAGGTGTGGTCAGTGAGGGTGAGGGGCAGTCCCAGGTGTGGTCAGTGAGGGGGTTTGGGGATGTCCCAGGTACGGTCAGTGAGGGTGAGGGGGAGTTTGAGCAGTTCCAGGTGTGGTCAGTGAGGGTGAAGAGGGACGGGCCCTGCTGAGACCTGCTTTCAGGGGGTTTCTGGAGCCTCTGGAGTGGGCAACCTTCAGGAATCTCTCAAAGAAGGACAGTGAGAGTATCTTGTAGGAGCCGGGAGAACACCTGGATTGCTCCAAGATGTGCAAAGAGACAAACCCGATGCCACAGGGCAGCGCCGGAGAGGGAGTAGGGCACCTGAACAGGTGGGACAGGGCAGGGGGTGCAGGGAAAATCCTTTTTCTTTCTCTTTTTCATTTCACCTTCACAGTCCCTCTTTAGTGCGTTCCAGTGACCCAGAAAAAAAAAAGATAAGGGTTTGAGGAAAAAAAAGGGGTTTAAATTGAGGGGGAAGCTCATTTTCCACTATTGTCTGTGATTTTTAAGGGTATCAGTTGAAGAAAAACCATTATTTAAGGGTATTAATTGATGGGGAATTGTTGTTTTCTGGTTTAAAGGAAAGGGGAAAACCTTTATGCCATTTTATGGGTTTGGGTTGAGGGCAAACTCCCCATTTTCATCATATTAAGGTTTAAGTTGCAAGGGAATCCCCTTTTTTCCTTATTTTTATGGGTAGAAATTCTAATTTTTCCAACACTTGAAGTATTTAAATGGAGGACAAAAGGGTGGGAAACATGAGGTGAAAAAGAGCAGGAAAAAGAAGAGAAAAAAGGGTGGGAAACATGAGGGGAAGAAAGGGCCAGAAATGTCAGGTGAAAAAGGGTGGGAAATATGAGGTGGTTGGGCACTCATGCATTGATTCATTGGGAATTTATTAACACCACAGAGAGTGCCACAACTGCCATAATAACTGATTGAGAGTGTATGTAATTCTGGCTTTGGCAGATGTTTGGGGTGTCCCTCTTGGCTCTGCTGCTATTATGTAGGAGCAGAAAGCAGGGTTCTGCAGATTTTTGGGATGACCTACATTGAGTGTGGTGAGTTTATCATGTACGTTAGAGCTTAAAGAGGCTCACAATGAATGTGCAAGGAAAAGCAAGACTTTTTGTATTTCTGGGATGGTGGGGCATTACTACTGCTGATCATATCTTATAGGATAATTTTCCTGTTATATATATAGAATAAAAAATGTTACTATATGACCTCTCCTAAGTTTATGTTTGCAGCATACAAAAAAGGTGACCTAATTGTAGATGCACGCAATACAGTGACACAGAGACAGTTCTATGCTCACTAGGAACAAAGTGTATTTTAAAATTCCTCCCCATCGTTCTCTTCTTCAAATGAGTCAGTTCCCACTTCTTCATAGTCCTTCTCCAGGGCAGCCAGATCCTCTCGTGCCTCTGCAAATTCTCCCTCCTCCATGCCTTCACCCACRTACCAGTGCACAAAAGCTCTCTTGGCRTACATCAGGTCAAACTTGTGGTCAAGCCTTGCCCAAGCCTCRGCAATGGCYGTGGTGTTGCTCAGCATGCACACTGCCCGCTGAACTTGGGCTAGGTCTCCACCAGGAACAACCGTAGGAGGCTGGTAGTTGATCCCAACCTGGAAACAGGAATGTGAGAGGAGGATGTAAAAAAGCAGGAGGCAGGCAAAGAGCTGAAGAAAAAATGAGTAAAGTTACAGATTGTGGGAAAGAGTGGTGCCAGATGGTAAATGCCATTACAATTGTTAAAGAATATAATACACACTCATTTTAATATCTACACTATTCTTCTGTTTTATGTACACTGACAAGTTTGTAGCTTTCTTAAAAGCAACTCAATACTGAACACAGAGTTTCACCAAGGTACTCTGTAGAAACTGACATAAAAAGTGGTTCCCAGTTGAAAGTTTTCAGTGCTAAAGGAACTGTTTGTATGATAAATATTTTTCCACTGTTAATGTCTGTATTACTGTTGAAAATATGTTTCCCAACATTGTTGTGTAGCTAGTGGGGAGAGGTTGTATAATATTTGTATTTCTGTATAACGTTTCTATAATTTAGAGATTCCCTAATACTCCTTCATTAATTTTACCAGTTTTGGTATTTCCTTAATTTTATATTGTGCTTCAGATGCAACACTCATTGGTTGTTCCAAAGGTTAGGTCTGAAATTAAAATTTTAAATTTAAACTCGTATGCACTTCAAATTTCCTCGTATTTAAATGTGTAGGAGCACGTGTCAATGGCATGTCAAAAGGAGAAAAGGTACATTTTATATAAATACATCCTTGTTATGTTCATTGGGAAATATCTRTATTTGCCCACATTCAATGAGAAATATGCAAGATTGAAAACRTTAAATACAGGTTTTCTACTAAACTGAAATTGCCCTTTAGACACTAAAAAGAAGCTCATGGCAGCAGCCCTACTCACCTTGAAGCCTGTTGGACACCAATCAACAAACTGGATGGTTCTCTTGGTCTTGATGGCAGCGATGGCTACGTTGACATCCTTGGGGACRATGTCACCCCGGTAGAGCACGCAGCAGGCCATGTACTTCCCGTGCCTTGGGTCACACTTCACCATCTGGTTGTTGGGCTCAAAGCAGGCATTTGTGATCTCGGCCACCGAGAGCTGCTCGTGGTGTGCTCTGTCGGAGGAGATGATGGGGGCGTAGGTCATCAAGGGGAARTGGATGCGTGGGTAGGGGACCAGGTTTGTCTGGAACTCTGTCAGGTCCACGTTGAGGGCACCATCGAAGCGCAGCGAGGCAGTGATTGAGGATACAATCTGGCTGATCAGGCGGTTCAGGTTGGTGTAAGTGGGGCGTTCGATGTCCAGGTTCCGGCGGCAGATGTCGTAGATGGCCTCGTTATCCACCATGAAGGCACAGTCCGAATGCTCCAGCGTGGTGTGGGTGGTCAGGATGGAGTTGTAGGGTTCCACCACAGCGGTGGAGACYTGAGGGGCTGGGTAGATGGCAAACTCCAGTTTGGACTTCTTTCCATAATCCACAGAGAGGCGTTCCATCAGTAAGGAGGTAAAACCAGAGCCGGTACCTCCACCAAAGCTGTGGAAGATCAGGAATCCTTGCAGCCCAGAACAGGCATCAGTCTAGAAAGCAAAAGAGAAAGGGAAACAGCAGGGGCTTAAAAGAGGAGGRCAATACTTTATTATGTGAGCTTATCCTGAACTGAAGGAATGAGCAGTCATTGGCAATATACAGCCTAGATTTCAGGTTTTCCTGAGAAAGGGCTGTTAATAATTCCGACCTTTGCTTTCCTCATTGTCTCAAGTTATTACATAGGGAGCCTTATCTRTTCAGGCCTTTTCCCTCCCTAAACTTCAGGCTTCTCTCAGTTATTCCAGCTGAAACCAGCAATGTACTACTGCATAACTCACCTTCTGTATCAGTGTTGGTGCTCTAGGGCTGTGTTAATAATTAAAAACTACATATTCAAAACCACTTCATAAAAATACCTGGAGGTGAACAGCTGGGGAGTGAACTACTGGGCCTCTCTCTATTGGACTATGTGCGAGACATAGTCTGTATGACTTGCACTCTCTTTTTCTGAGCCATTGGTATTATTTGCAGTTAACTATTGGTTCTGTCCTCTCTTCAGCAAGGAAACTCTTTTGAAACTTCTGTTTCAAAACTGCTGGGACTTACCAGCTTACGGACACGGTCCAGCACTATATCAATGCTTTCCTTGCCAATGGTGTAGTGGCCACGGGCATAGTTATTGGCTGCATCTTCCTTTCCAGTGATCAGCTGCTCCGGATGAAAAAGTTCCCGGAAGGTCCCAGCCCGTACTTCATCTGAAGAAGAAAGAGAAATTGTAAGAAGTTGCACATGCTCCAGTGCCAACAAGTTCTAGTTGTTGTTGGCATCAATGTATGCTCTCAAGTCACAGGAGGTCATGATGCCGAAAAACAGATGCTGATGGAGAAGTGAAATGTCTTTGGAGTATTTTTCCATTGTTGCATTTGGTTGACTTGTGGTGCATCTTCAATCCAGCCACAGAATTCATCTTCTCATGAACTTGTCAGTGACAAGCGCAGCCTGCATCCACAAGTTATCAGAAAAACAGTGAAGAAATTCAGGTGTCCCAATTCTTAGGCATTCTTCTGTGACTGGAGGGAAACTATCAGTCTCCCACTTGGAATCCAAATTGAAGAAAAGCAGAATTTGAATGGCAAAAATGTCATGATAAACAAATCCAAAAGCTGGGGCAAAGAGAAGTTGTACAGGCCRCATGTACCACCTCTTATATTGCTGTGGATTCTCCTGTTTCCACGTTYGTAATACAAAATGTTTGTGACAGAATCCAGCATTCTGTGACACAAGAAAATTAATTTCATGCTATTTAGTGGCAGACAAAGGTACAAAGGGCTGCTTTGTGCCAGTGGAGTGATGTCTTGAGATTTTTARTTTCTATATTTTCATGCATCTGTATTCTTGTACTTCTCTAGTACAGCACTA